GCTTTATAAATAAAGGTGGTATGGTATGTAGAAAAACAGTTAAATGTGTAACTTCTTTACACTGACAGAAAGGGGAGTTTCACTGGTTCGGCCCACTTAGGTCAAAGTGGGCTGTATGCAGCCCGTGATGTAAAATGAGTTTGACACCCCTGCTATAGGGTCTTTACTTTACAGGATAAATCACCTGAAAGAAACTGCTGTTGTGATTTTGCACTATCCGACAAATTTATTAAAAAGCTTTTGCTCCCGAAGATTGCCACATGCTAAAAAATATAAATAAAATAAATAAATCACCAATTCCTGAGGTGTTTCGCTCAGCATGCTGTTAATGCGGCATCATGTCCATCCAGTCTGTGCTGAGAATCAGCAGCTGTCAGTACATTCTCTCCTATCTTGACTGATGTAGACTTAATTGCAGCTCTGTGCACGTAGTTTCAGCTAAACAACAAAACAAGAAACTTAAAGGCAAAAACCTGCAAGAGGGTAAAGGAGTGTTTAGCACCTTATCTAAACTCAGTGGTTTCATGCTGTATGTTTAACTTAACAATGGTTGAACCACAACGTTAAAGCCGTTTATACACAGGCTAGTCAAAGAGGCAAAATGACATTGTCTCAGTCTGGCTTTATGACAACTTCATTCCTTGTGCAAATGTGTCTGTATAAATGATTATTTATCAATAAGAGAACAGAAGCAGCTCTTGGCCTCACTTTTAACCACAGTGATGATGATGTGACAGACTGCTGGGATTCTGAGGACAGGGCAGGCTCTGGTGACATCACCAGGGATGATGCCATCATGTGCATGAGTAATAGCACAGCAATGATTTTTAAGTTTCACCACCACTCTGACCTCAATTTCTACTTGTCTGAGAAGCTAACTGAACCAAGTGGGGGATTTATATTTCCTCTCATTGGTGGAAGGGTGAGGTTTATTCAGATTTGTGTGAATGCGAATGTGCATCCATCCACATTACATGCAGACAGAAATGGTGCATGTCCACACTTCATAAGGGATGTGTGTCACAGTCACTGGGCTTGAAATCAAGCAGAGTGAAGATTGTTTATGGACTGCCAAAAGTAATTAATCTCCCTTCTCAATGAAAATTAATCGGATTAAACCTTCTCGTGGCCCAGTGAATCTGTATCTGTCCCACTTTGCTCTCATTATGCCAGTCCTATAGGCCCGATTCACTGGCTTCATCACAACAATGGGCAGCTCAGTGACTCCAGTGTGTAATCATATTCTCCTGCTTGTCTGAATGCTTGTCTTTCACGGTCAGAGAAGAAGTTTTGGCCCTTTGACCAGTATCACATTCTGACCTTTGGTAGGCATGCTGAAGCAGTCGGAGAGATTTGTTGATTTCAGCATCATCTGTGTGACTCTGGCCGCTGGTGAAACACATGTTCGCATGATTCTTTGACCTTTTCTGTAGCATTCAGAGAAGTATTCTCTGCCCACTACTCTTTTACTTTTCTAGTGGGCTATGGGTTAACATCCTAAAGACACTGAAATACTTATGTTTTTAGTCCTTGCATGTTAGAAGGATTCAGCTGCTCCAGTTCCTTTAAAATGTACTACCTACATATAACCAACAGTGCTCTTTCAAGTAAAGGAATTTGATGATAAAGTAAGAAAGATCATATTCACAAATTAGCTGTAATTGTCACTACAAGAGTCCAGCATAGTATGAAACAAGACAATTCATGAAATAAAATGTTCATTCCAGTGGCAATCTGCACATCAATGGAGCATGTTGCCATGTCTCTGCTGTAAAGATTGATAGGCTTGCCATCTTATGACCTTATTTCAAGCTGTAGGAACAATGTAAAGGCAGATATACGGCAGAATAGAGCATTTTATAGGAATCTAAGCAATGGATGAAGTGTGTAAGTCTATAACACCACAGAGTTGAGTTGTACACAGGCAATGAGAAAGACATTTCCACTAAAGGTCTAGAGTTAGCCACTCCAAATTGCTGC